GTTACCCAGAACCAACTTCAGTAAAATCACTAGGTCGTTTCCTTGGAACATGCAATTTTTACCGACGATTTCTACCAAATTGCACTGATGTACTACAGCCGCTGACAGATTTAATGAAGAACGATAAAACATGTACAAAGAAGGAAAAGAACCAAATATTCAAGTTACCTCCTAATGCCAAAACGGCATTTGAAAAAGCTAAATCCATGATTGGTAATGCTATCATGCTCCAACACCTAAATACTGACAACACAACCCGGTTGATCCTGTGTACGAATGCTTCACAAAAAGCTGTCGGAGCAGTATTACCACAGCGGGTAAACAATACGATTACTCCCATAGCCTTTTTCTCCAAAAGATTATCACCGACCCAAGAACGTTGTAGTACTTTTGGACGTGAACTCCTAGCTATGTATTTAGCCGTAAAACATTTCAACTTCTTGCTACAGGGCCGTGACTTCATCATTATGACTGATCATTAACCTCTTCGTCATTTCTTTAGCACATCGTAAGACAAACACTCTCCACGAGAAGCCAGACAACTGGATTATATCTCTAAATTCATTACAAACATCTGGCTAAATTAAGGCCACACCAACATTATCGCAGACGCACCATCTAGAAAGGATATCAATATGATGGTACACAACCACGACATCAGCCTCGAAACCTTGGCTAAATTACAAGTAGACGATGCAAATTTGAAAGTCTGCAAAGAAAAGTCGAGCTTGAATCTCAAACCTATACACATTCCTTTTTCAGATGCATCCATCATTTGCGACACCACAAGGGGTAATCATCGTCCCTTTGTCCCATATGCTTGTCACCGAAAAATATTCCAACACCTATATAGTCTGTCTCACTCAGATATCAGAGCTACCACAAAGCTCATAACAGAACGTTTCGTTTGGCCGAGAATCAATTCGGATATTAAACGTCGGACACGTAGTTGTCTTCAGTGTCAACGCAGCAAGATCCAGAAACATACTATCAGCCTATTTAGGGAATTTTCTACCCCCGACAAACGTTTCCAACATGTTCATTTGGATTAGTTGGGCATCGGTGGACAGGTTCACCAGATGGACCATAGCATGCTCCATAAAAGACACGTCTACAGAAACAGTTGCATCAGTTTTCCTTGATCGCTGGATATCAAACTATGGAGTACCGTCGATAATCACTACAGATCGTGGCCGCCAATTTCAATCCGTCCTATTTCAGGAGTTCACTAAACTTCTCGGCGTAAACCACATCAAAAGGACAGCTTATCATCCTGTAGCTAATGGCATGGTTGAAAGATTCCGTCACCAATTAAAAAGCTCACTAATGGCTCAAGCTGACTCATCCAAATGAAGCGATGCCTTTCCGCTTGTACTCCTCGAGATTCGTTCAACTACAATGGCAGACATTGCATGCAAGGCCGCCGAATTAGTCTATGGCACAACTCTAACGTTACCTGGTCAACTGGTCAACCATGAAGCTATAACTCCAGGGTATTCTACTCGCTTCGTAAGCCGTCTATTACAAACGATGCCGAACATTAAAGCAATGCCTCCTTGCAAACACAACAGTCGTGTCCAACTTGATAAACACCTTGAAACGTGCAATTTCGTTTTCGTCCGATTAGATGCGGTTAAAAAACCATTGAAAAAACCATACGAAGATCCGTATAAAGTAATTAAACACACACAAAAGTACTTCATCATCAACAGAAATGGCAACAAGTAGACCATTTCTATGGACAGAATAAAACTTGCTTTCCACGAAGCTACTCCAGTCAAAGAAGACAACATTGTCGACAAGCCAAACCCCTCAGATCAGTTACTGAAAAACCAGTGGAGGATGAAAAACTTAATACTAAGCCTTCTTAGTTAACACGCTCCGGTAGTCATATAAACAAACCTAAACGTTATGTACATTTTGTAGACTAATAAAAGCAAAAACATTCAGGGATGCATATTACAAGATTAAATTTACTCCATTTTTCTAGTAAAAACTATTTACCTTCTTCACTTGTGCATATAATTAATTACATTTCTTCACGATCACTTGTTTTGTCAATTCTTTTTAATAAGAGAAATTGTTATCATAACAAACGGGTGAACTGTAGCTCATTATTTATTAATTACACATAAAAATAAACAAGCCAATATTTTATTTTACCAGCTTATTAACAGTCATGCACATTATTAGTATTATTAGCAAACCAAGACTTTGAATATTTGTATTTTCATTTTGTTCTCTGTGGTTGCTATGATATGCTGCACTAATACGATTTTACACAATAACACATGGTATATTACTAAGGTGCATGTCATACCTATCTCCACTATATTTTTGTTGTTTTTGTTATTTCTTGTTATTATAACCAGTGTTACCTCTGGACACACTGCGGGGAGCTATGTGCAGATAGACTTAATAAACTTATTTTGTAAATAGTTTTTGATAGCTTTTGAATTTATTTTGTGTATTTCCACAATTTGTACAATTATCGCTAAACGATTGTACATGTTGTTCTAGTATGTGACCTTGACAACAAACCTCCTTCCGTTTTGAATTACACATAGCACGACATTGTTGAGTGTGCATTAATAAATACACTCACATACACACATGTCTCGTTCTATCATGCCTGTAGCTATAATAAATAAACTATTGATTAACTATCAACTATTTTTATAGTTGCATTCAACGTCGAGAAAACTGGCTGGAGCCTGATATATTGACTTCATTGGAATTAATAATTATAAACAATTTTGAATCTTTGGTACCAAGCACAACGAAACACGCAACATCCCTGAAATTAGATTTTGCGTTATAAATTTTTAAGTTGTTTATTGACATATTAAATTTCGAACGTAATAATTGTATTGTTATTCATTTGTGGTTAATATACTGTTTGACCTACCACTCACCAGTATACACATCGATTCACTCTTCACAATTTAGAAAACCTGCACAAATCAATGCTACACAACACGGTCTCACACTACAGAAATGCTACACCGTACATTGTAAACAACAAACAATCGACATCATCAACATTACCACGATGCATGTGACCTGTGAAAGAAAACTGGAGAGTCTCACACCTCCCTATCCATCAGTAAGTCAGTCACTAACTCCACGTATACGTTTTCCATGGTGTATTGATCTCTCTGCTGGATGCTTCCACTACGAGTGTGCACATCCAACATTGGGGACAATCGGCTGATAAACAATACTGTCACTGTTCTCCTATCTCAATGGCGCCACACTCAGTGTCTCGCCTAACTATCATCTCATCTCATCTCATCTCATCTCACATCACATCATATCATATGGAAACATATGATTGGCAAAATGGGCAACAACAATTGACGACTTACGATATGCTGTGATGTTTCTCAAACTTGGTCCACTCTTGATATTCAGGAGTGTGCATCCACGAACCAGAGTCTCCGTGAGATCAGTCTCAGTTGGTTGTGATCCACGAGACAAATGCAACTGCACACTCGCAATTGCTCGAACAGCTTCGATTGAGACACGATTGACACCCGCGTCTGTGTGAGCTTGGCCAACACCGTCAATCCAGATCATGATCCGAATGAAGACAACACGGACACAAGTAGCACCTCGAGAGAACTCTTCACTACCCAGACGTAGTCCGCTCAATAGCTGCAACGTGCAAAACAAAATCACACAGAATACACAATCAGTCGATTAGTCAGTCTCTCGATCCGTCGTTCGCTTGCTCATATATCAACATCACAACTACAATTTTCAATTAGACCGGTGTCGACCAGTGCTCATCATCGCTATCATCATTATAATGACCAAGTGCATGACCACCACTTCACAAATGGACAATCACTTACAATCACTGGCTTACTCATTCAACTAACCGACGCTCACACTACCAATGTGAACACCACTCAATACACCAATTCATCACTACTCGCTTCAATCTCACACTCACATGACCACTAACTCATTACCTGCTCACCTACTTACTCACCACCTACTAATAACTTCTTACCTACTCACTAACTCATTGCCTTCTCACAAACGTCCGTTCTCACACACACACACACACACACTTCCACGCCTACTTACTAGCTCAGTCTGTACATTACACATTCATCAATTTGATTCAAACGATGTCCCTCTCTCTCTCTCTCTCTCGATGATCTTCACTCCTGTCATTTCACAGAACAATTAGTCCACTACACTGGTGTCATTCGAACAATCCACACACTGCTTCTCTGATTATTGCATACCAGTACACTAAGAACACAATAACCATAACCAATGCACACCTACCAGGTCACAAATCGACATCGACAAATTTCTGTACATGACACTTGACTCATTCGACAGATCAGTTGACCAATTCATGGGCACTGACCGTTCTTCAATGTAGATCACAATATTCACCTCGAACACGAAGATCTCTACAAGGAAAAGTTAATGAGAATAGTCTTAAATACCATAGCATGTAATTGGTAATGATAATAATAGTTTCATTGCAAGTTCCTGTTATTTTGAAGGCCCGCTCGCGGTGATGTTGTGAGTAGGAATCGATGTTGTCACTGATTGTTACTGGTTGGTGTCTTCACGACTAACTTCCGTTTGATTCACTTTTCATCATTCTGCGGAAGATGTTATTAATGCTTACAAATAGACGAAACGATAAGTGCACACAAGAACGCACGGAATGACATTAATGAACTGAATTGTAAGAGTGACTGCGATCTAGTCGAACACCGCAAAATGAAAACACAATGGTCGTCAGTTGTCATTACGCCGTTCAGATACTGTCACCAAATCTAATATAATCACGATGTGGGTCTGTGCCTCAATCGACGCACTCACTCAAGCAGTCGGTCAGTCGATCGTTCAACCAATCAGTTTATCAATCAACTGAACACTGAGCACAGCACAAACTCAAATCTCATGTGACCATGTATGGAAATAGATGCGAACAACACGTGACTTCTGACGAAACAATATGGACCTACCGAAATCGTCTGATGTAGTAGTTGATGATGGGCTCGTCGTCTTCACTGTTGATGTCGACTTCACCGTCTCCGTTGTCCTAATCGGTTGTGCGAATTCTGTTGAGACACTACTTCTGTCTGTCTGTTGAAGGCTGCTAGTCGAAGCTGACATGCTTGTCGGTGAACCTGTTCAATTAAGTATGAAAACACACATATTTATAATATTTGTATTTGTCGTTGATTCACTCGTCGCAACCGAGAACACCTTCACAAATCAATGCTACACAACACCTAATACTTATATCAGATATAAAAGTTGTTTTAATTTTCAGTCTTTAGTTGCGGTATTTTGTCAGTAAAATATAAGTATTTCTCCTCAAATGCTCTCGCACACAACACACGTAATCTGCATTTGTATCACTATTTTCCTAAAGCATCATTAGATTTCGCATAATCAATATGGAAAGTACCTGTTTTCGACATTATTGATATTATTTTATGATCATTTTTAATATTGTTTTTACCGGTAAACCATATTTCCACCTACATATTCGATACTTTCTGTCTATATTCATATTTCTCTCGCATACTCAGACCAGATTGCCATTGAAAAGTTGGATTTACTTAAGACTGATTTTTAATAGTTAGGTTGCTTTCGTCACAGATTAATCGTTGTCAATGCCCAACTGAATGTCAGCAATTAATTGAATGATGTTCAATCCTCGTAGAATAAGCTACATCAGTGCATATTCATGACTTAAATTGGGATCAAAACCAAGTCTTTCGAGTCTAGAGACGAATGTGTAACTATCAAGATGATTGACTCGATGTCTACTGCTAGAATTATCACTTCAATCAATTTGAACTACAAAATGATTATCCTACCCTGATATTCTACACAATTGTTCTACTTCTGACGTGATCTAATTCTACTGGTCACGAATTCTCACTGGAACATGAGGGAATGGTTTAAATTAATATACTAGTAAGCTGACATTTACAGTCTATCAGAAGACGTTTTTTCGCATAATATGATATTATCAACTTACGAGTGAACTCAATTTCAACCAAATATGGTCCACTCGTAACATTCAACTTTTCCCATCCTTCAATGAAAATCTGCGTTAATTCCTTATCGGTTAGTAGTGAAGCTTCCAATGATCTCATTTCCACCGTCATTTTCATTAAGATACAGTCGATTAATCGATATTCGTATTTTTCAGTATTATTAACTCTGTAGACAGTTTCAATTTGAACTGTGACTTTTTGGAACGTGACGTTCAGAATTTTGAACGAGAATGAAATTTGAACATTCGCTAATTGTACACTTTTAGTAACCTAATCATTAAGGAAAGAAAAAGATATTTCAGTTATGCAATCAAATGTTCAAATGATCGATCAGTTTTAAATAATTCAACTAAAAACTAAATACAAAAAGCAAAGATGTATATCGAGGCAATACACACAGTATGCACATTTGCCAATTAGTGACTGGTCAATTTCAATCCTAAACAACAATGGGAAGATTCAAGCAAAACATAATCAAGTGAATTAAATACATAAGTCTATGCTTCCTATTAAATCACTGATTACCATAAAACAATATACCAAAGCTTAATGTGTGCCATCAAAACATTGTCGTAAAATAACCCTCATGATTTTGAACATCGAATTTGTCCAATATTACTCTTAAATAAAGAAAAGATGCTTATGAGAATAGTAGAAGAATCAAAGCCGCATATCGTGAATGTACCGAAGTGAGGCATTCACACCGTCGGACTCAAGGTTAGTGGTCTGGATGTTGAGCATTCGCTCGCAAGTCTGACGGTCCTGAAATCAATTTCTTGTAGTGCGTTTGTGGATTTATTAGTACTGAAGAGTTACATTTAAGGACGAAACAGCTACCCAGAGCTTTCACGTTTTGTCGTTTATATACCATGAGATTTCAATGATCTCCAATAATTACCCCTATACTAAAAATATATCAGTCCATGAAAAAATAGGAAAGTTATTTATTCTAAATTATCCGGAGATTTCTAGCATCATAGGCGAATCGCATGACGCCTGTTTTACAACAGTATGTTTATATTAGAACATATTCACCACATTATCATGATCGTAGATAATTTAATTTGTAGTTATTCATCAACATGGCTTAACTTCAATACTGATGGAATTGATGCTCCCTGTATGATTCGAACCATAGTCACTCAACTATCGGTGGAACAATCAACTTTCTTAAGAATTTTGATATTTAGAATTGAATAATAGCTGAATCATAACCAATGTTATTTCATTCGAGATCGAGATGCAGTGGGATGTCCTAAACATAATTCTTCAACTTCATACATCGTTCGTCCCGATTACTTCTAGTAGATATCTCCTACGGTGTATAAATTTCAGAAGACTACATTAAGCGTTGACTTCAGTCTTCTATCGTACAGCACAGTTCACGAAGCCCCCAAGAAAATGAAGCAAATACGAACGAAAATGAGAATGGATGAATGAATAAATTTTCAGTAGCACGTAAATATAAGCAACAGACTGAATCATCTACCACTTTAGGCTAATAAGAGGAAATGTTTATGAGCTGTAACAAGTGATCAAGCATACCTGATCTAAGAAGCATGGTGATGACAACTTAAAGATGTAATCAAATAGTTGATGCCATGAATGGCTCATTAAATTTGAACGTGTATAAACTGAAGTATTAGTGATTATGCTATAGTTTATACGTGATATGGTTATGTAGTATCGGTTACTATACCAGCTCATATAGCTTATTCTAGATTCCGGATAGGCCAATCTATTCATATTTTTAGTCATATCTTGACCTTGTCAATTATTCACTTATCAACCTTGACTGATTTTATATGAGTGTATGTGTGTGCACTTCTTATCCTATTCATCACATGCTTGTTACTTATTTTGTTCGACTATAAATATCGATTAATGCTTGATTAAATCAAGTTGGCTCATATGCCTTCTTCTTTGCTTCGCTCTCTTCTCTTCACTTCGTCCGTCTCACTGTCTGTCCAGGTCAGTGAATTTACAAAATATACGTATTCAAAAATCCATTCTCGCATTTGAATTATTAATTAATTCCGTTATTCATTAACCAAGATTAAGTCGATAATTATATATAAGGATTGACCATATGTATATTTCGATAAGATTAATGCGATCCAAATGGAGTGAGATATCAGAGCACTAAAGTTACATAACATCCTTATAGATATATTCCAGTCAGTAGTAAATATCAGACAAACATAATCTTGCTTCACTTGGTATTGTTTGGCTTGTATCTACCCATTAAGGTTCAAGCCTGCGATTGATCAGTCTGTTATTGGCATATGTGCATGCTGTGCGTGTGCCTCAATATTACCTTAATTCACAAGCTTTTCGTAAGCAATGATGGATAGTGGCTAGTAGTGGAATCCAGGACACTCTGTGACTGGAACCCAGTACCCATCGCTACAAACGCCATCGCGTTATCCACTCAGCCACTGAGTCCTTACTTATTACTCATAAATCATCTTAAGTAATATGTTGAAGTAAACTCTAAAAACAATTAGAAATGATGATTTCCTTGAATATTCAATTTGAAAATACAAAAAATTAATAATGATACCTACCAGATATTGAATTTGTGATGATAAATTTAAATAAAGTGCACTTGTAGGTATACTTAAATTATCTGACCATTCCATCAAATCCCTTGATTCTACTTTGTAGATTAATGCCTCAATTTGTCCTATCGTAAGTTCTAAATGAGAAGTAGAAATTGGAATATCAAAGATTTTAAGATAAAATGAAGTGTGAAATATATATATATATGCAAGCGTAGGAAAGATGAGAGAACTGTATGACACGACAAAGAAACTCTGTAAATCACCGTAAACCAGAACGACTAGTGAAATGCATGAAAAGCAAGGTACTCACGAACATTGAAGAACAACGAAACAGTTGAGTAGAACACTGCAAACACTCTTTAATCAACCAGCTCCATTGAACCCACCCAACATCGAAGTAGCACACACGGGCCTCCTAATCGATGTTGGCCCACCAACAGTTGAAGAAATCAACATGGCCGTCAGACAAATCAAGCAAGACCAGACAACATTCCAGCAAGGGCACTGAAAGCAGACGTAGCGATAACTGCAAGGAAACTCCACATTCTCTTCAAAATGAAAACACAATGGTCGTCAGTTTTCATTACGCCGTTCAGATACTGTCACCAAATCTAATATAATCACGATGTGGGTCTGTGCCTCAATCGATGCACTCACTCAAGCAGTCGGTCAGTCGATCGTTCAATCAATCAGTTTATCAATCAACTGAACACTGAGCACAGCACAAACTCAAATCTCATGTGACCATGTATGGAAATAGATGCGAACAACACGTGACTTCTGACGAAACAATATGGACCTACCGAAATCGTCTGATGTAGTAGTTGATGATGGGCTCGTCGTCTTCACTGTTGATGTCGACTTCACCGTCTCCGTTGTCCTAATCGGTTATGCGAATTCGGTTGAGACAGTAGTTTTACATGGGATGAGGAACAAGAATCAACAGACTGAAAGCAAGGACTTCTCGTCAAAATACAAAAGAAAGGCGATCTCAGCAAATGTGATAACTATAGGAGCATCACTCTTCTCTCTATACCGGGAATAGTCTTCAACAGAGTATTGTTAAACAGGATGAAGGACTGCGTAGACGCCCAACTTCGAGAAAAACAGGCAGGATTCCGTAAGGATAGATCGTGTACAGACCAAATCGCAACTCTACGGATCATTGTGGAACAATCAATTGAATGAAATTCATCACTCCGCATCAACTTCATTGACTATAAAAAGCATTTGATAGCGTGGACAGGACAACATCATGGAAACTTCTTCGACACTACACCGTGCCTCAGAAGATAGTCAATATCATTCAGAATTCATATGATGTATTAAACTGCAAAATCGTGCATGGAGGACAATTGACAGACTCGTTCGAGGTAAATACCGGTTTTAGGAAAGGTTGCTTACTCTCACCCTCTCTCTTTCTCCTGATGATCGAATGGGTCATGAAGACGTTAATATCTGAAGGAAAGCACGGGATTCAGCGGACATCTAGGATGCAGTTGGACGATCTAGACTTCGCAGATGATCTGGCCCTTCTATCCCAAACGCAACAACAAATGCAGGAAAGACGACAAGCATAGCAGCAGCCTCAGCAGCAGTAGATCTCAATATACACAAAGGGAAAAGCAGGATTCTCCGATACAACACAGAATGCACCAATCCAATCACAATTGACGGAGAAGATTTGGAAGATGTAAAAACCTTTACATATTTGGGCAGCATCATCGAAGAACAGGGTGGATCTGATGCAGATGTGAACGCGCGGATCGGTAAAGCAAGAACAGCATATTTACAATTTAGAAACATCTGGGACTCAAAGCAACTGTCAATCAACCCCAAGGTCAGGATTTTCAATACAAATGTCAAAACAGTTCTGCTGTATGGGGCGGAAACCTGGAGAACTACGAAAGCCATCATCCAGAAAATACAGGTGTTTATTAACAGTTGTCTACGCAGAATACATCGGATCCGATGGCCGGACACCATCTGCAACAAAAATATATGTCAATGTTTTACAAGCTTTGAATAAAATGAAATAATGTCCCGATCAACAGCTTTCGTAGTTTGTCAGGGCTTCTTGTTTCCCCGTTCACATCAGTTAGTCGTTTAAATCGAAAGATAATGAGTTCGTGTCAATGAGAGAATACCAGTGTTGGAATACAGATAAATTCAACTGGTGAATCCTAAATAGAATGAAATTCATATCCTAGATTTCGCAGCTCGCTACAATCTATCATCATGAGACCATATCAAGGAAATGCCAACAATTACGGTGATCAACTTTCAACTCTGAATACCAACGGCGCTTTCTCATAAAACTGTAATAATAATGATGCGTTTATGATGTAAAATATCATCTACAAATGAAGTAGTTTGGTGAGACTATAATCTAAGGACGGCCTTTGAGTGATGCTAAAGTGATTTTGTGAGTGTGCATCTAAAATAACTAGGACGAAATGAGGGTTACAAACCAGTGTGAGGAATTGCAATTATGAATTATACTTAATGTTTAAGGTTAGGATTAAGATTTGCGGTTCTCATCACCAACTGACATTAGATATAATTGGAAAACTCTATTTAGTCAAATGGATGACTGAATTTCGTGACGAGATCCGAGACCTGTTATTATTTCATGGCTTATGGCACAATTCAAGAATGGCATGACTTATGATAATGGTTCATAGGTCAAAATAAAGTTTATAATGAGAGGAATATGAATATGAATAATTTAGTCATATAACAATTATACGAAAAAATAAACGCATAGTATTGGTCCATAAATTGATCCCAAATTTGCTACTCATTATTCTTATCAGGACATAACAGTATTCATGAATTGTTTTTATATTATTTTCTTCTGAATATAGATATTAAGTAACGACTGATCAAAACGATCGGGCTCACTTGCCATCTAAGCTGCATATCACTATGTTTCGGTTTGTTTCATTTCGGTTAACCTCTCTCAATTCGTGTCTGAGATTGTCTGTCTGAATCAGTGAGTGTGCAAAATATATACAAATTCAAAATTCATTTTCGTATTCGACATATTCTATTCCGTTATTCTCTAACGTGGAATTAAATCGATGAAAATATACGATGGTTGATAGAATACTGATTTCAGTAACAGTCAAAATACGAATTAGCTGGATTAAGATATATTGGACCACTAACAACACTAATTTATGCTCATCACATCAAGGATAATTATCATATCATACATGTATTCAAATATATCGATTGAAATAAATAACTAAATACTGTTTTATTGTTTGAATGGTGATACTATAATTTATAGAAGATTGTTGTGCGACGTTAAACTAACCTTCAGAATGTCCACCTACTAACAAGGACTAGACGATGGTTATAAAGCAGTGTAAGGAAATAGCATTATGATTTACAATTGATGGTTATGGTTAAGCGTAAGATTTATGGCTTTTATCACGAATTGACATTAGCGGAAATGCGTAAACGCTATTTAACCAAATGGATGGATGAATTTCGCACCAAAATCCAAGATCTTATAGTGACTCACGTGCAATCGAGTTTAGTTCAGTCAAGGTCTTTTGTTGACCTATTTAATGGACAAAGTGATCCATGACATAACAACTTGTTGTACTATCATCATTATTATGCTTGTATGAAATACATATGCTTGAACATTGTTTAGCGCCTACGCATGTATTCATTCTGCTAGCTTCATTATTAACTGCTTAGTCTATTCGCTGACTCATCCATTTTCCTATACATATATATATATGTGTACATTTGCACCCATTAACTACTACAACTACTTGCTACTGCTACAATCGTAGTTCGCTTGCTCATTCATTTTGCCTCTCTGCTGTCTGGCCCGAATTATCTACTAAATAAACTGTAGTAGCAGCTTCTTTTCGCCTTCTGATTTCAAACATAGTTGAAGATTATACGATAACGGTTCGAGGGTGATTAATTATCGAAGCACAGCCACTACAGAATTGGTAATCCCGACGTGAGAACGGGAAGCGAATTTTGACGAAATAATAAAATTCCAAAAATCCGACTACCTTCGTCTCAATTTGGATTATCAAATGAACTCCAATTACAACTGTGGATTTATATTATTATTTTAATTACACTTACATTATTTCGCAAACATTATTAAACTTGACGATTATAATCATAATAAATAACAATTATCCATAAACAATTGGTATATTGGTGCAATTTAGTAAGTCTGTTCCATTTTATAAATTGTGCCATTTTTTTTATTATCATTGTTTTTGCCCGTCTATTCTTCCTTGTGACTGTTAAATTATTTTCGTGTGCTACTTAATTTTTATAAGCATGTCTTACGAAAACACAGTTTCAAGCGTACAGCAAACCTCGTCCGTGAGGTCTCTTAACCTTCCTGCCCCTTCTTTTAAAATCACAGACCTAAAACTTTGGTTTATAAGACTTGAAAATTATTTTCTCGCTAACCTCATTCTTTTGCAAAAGGATAAGTTCGGTCTGACAAGCACACTACTCCCAGACGAAGTAGCTGACAGCGTTCGAGAGGCACTAGCAAAACCAGACACAGAAAAACCATACGACGTGCTAAAAGAGGCAGTAATTAAAACTCTCTCTCTCTCAGTGACCAGCAAGCCGTCGAACAACTCCTTAGCCAAGTACAAATTGGAGATAGAACCCCATCACAACTAAAAAAATATATGAAAAGTCTACTTGGCGATAGGCACATTGACAGTAACCTCTTTCATCAACTGTGGCTCCGCCGACTCCCGGCAAATATACAGCAGATCCTAGCCGTGGGAGATACGGACGCTGATTTAGACAATATAGCAAAGATAGCCGATAGAATATACGAAAGAAGCAAGCAAGCAAGCCCTCCACTACACAACGTGACGGTAGACGGCGAGACTCTAATTTAGCGACGAGCCAATCAGAAGCGTTTGAGCAATTTCAAGGTCACAGAGCCAAGTTCAACACGCGATGCTAACATACGGTCGGTTCACAGCGGATTTTAGAGAGGAAGTGATTAATGAGAGGTTAAAACAGATGGGACGGCAAAACTCTAATTTAGGGACGAGCCAATGAGAAGCGTTTGAGCAATTTCAATTATTAGCCAATCAGAAGACAGTATAAAGTAAAAATATATTACAAGAAAGTAATGAATTACAGTGGATATTCTTCTTTTACATGATTTAAAAACTTGTTGAAGTTTGATAAAGGCTCATAAGTTCTGAATTCATAATGCATATTGTATAGAAACTCGTCCATAGGGTTAGGGTTAGGGGTTAAGGTTAGGGTTAAGGGTTAGGTTAAGGTTAGAGTTTAGGGCTAAGGTTAGGGTTTAGGGTTATGGTTAGGGGTTAGATTAGGGTTTAGGGCTAAAGTTAGGGGTTAGATTAGGGCTTAGGGTTAGGTTAAGGTTAGGGTTAGATTAGGGTTTAGGGTTAGGTTAAGGTTAGGGTTAGATTAGGTTTAGGTTGAGGTTAGATTTAGGTTAAGGTTAGGGTGAGGGTGCTAACATGCGATCGGTTTACATCGGATTTTAGAGAAGTGGTGTCTATTGACAGGCTACAACCCTAACCACTAACCCTATGGAAGAGTTTCTATACAATATGCATTATGAATTCAGAGCCTCTGAACCTTCATCAAACCTTAACAAGTTTTTAAATCATGTGAAAGAAGAATATCCACTGTAATTCATTACTTACTTACAATATATTCTCACTTTATACTAACTGTCTTCTGATTGGCTAATAATTGTCAAGGTCATTTAAGATTCGTTCAAAGGTCGTCGCTAAATTAGAGTCTCGCCGCCACAAAGGTCATCGCGAGATCTCTCGCGTGAAAGGACCCGGTCAACTTCTAGACGACGCACAACTCCCGCGATATGTTGGTATCATCAAATGTTCGGCTACAGGGCTAGAAAGTGCCTACAACCTTGTAGATTTAACAGGGCTAGTAACCGATACTCACGAGTATCAATGGCAACGGCATCAACACACATAATGCCTGAAAATAGTCGCCTCTTTTATATACAAGACCGAACCACTGGCGCACAATTCTTAGTTGACACTGGAGCGGAAATTAGCGTAGTACCTCCATTTAACGAGGAAAGAAAAAACATTAATCCGTCATTGGTGCTAAGAGCAGCAAACAAATCAGATATTAAGACATATGGCAAACGGAAATTGTCCCTAGATTTTGGACGTGGCGCTTCATACCGCTGGAACTTTGTTATAGCAGACGTATCGATGCCCATAATAGGCATAGATTTCTTATGTAACTTTGACCTGCTGGTAGACTCTAGACGACATAGACTTATAAACGGCAGTCAAACCACTTCGATAAGAGGAATACTTACGGAAGCCGTTTCAATGAACCTTGTGATAGATAAAAGTCGAGGTGATCCATATAAATTGTTGTTAAAAGAATTCCCTGAACTCGTAAAAGTAACATACAATAAAGCGGATCTCAAACATTCTATTCAGCACCACGTCGTAACGAATGGTCCACCAATCAATGCAAGACCAAGAAGGTTAGATCCCAAAAGACTAGCCATCGCAAAACAGGAATTCGACAAGCTAGTGAGGCTAGGCATTATAAGGCCATCGAGCAGCCCGTGGGCATCCCCGCTAGATATGGCTTCGAAAAAGAATGGAGAGGTTACGCCATGTGGAGATTACAGAGCACTGAACAAACAAACAGTAGCTGACAGATACTCTATACCGCATATTCATGATTTCACCTACAGTATAGAAGGCACTACTATCTTCTCGAAGATCGACTTAGTCAGAGCATACTACCACATCCCTGTTGCCCCACAAGACATACCGAAGACAGCAGTAACAACCCCATGCACGCACAACATCCTACCATCCGATGTTGAATGGTATGGTAGAGAGATTGCATCGGCAACTTAAAGCTTCTCTTACAGCTGTCATCAGCAATAACGATTGGGCCAGCAAGCTACCGTTAGTCATGTTGAGCTTAAGATCAACAATCAAACAAGATATAGAATGCTGCCCATCAGAATTGGTTTATGGAACCACACTACGTCTGCCAGGAGAGTTTTTCACCGCAGGTAAAAGCGTTCCAACTGATATAGCGGACTATGTACAGCGTCTTAAGCAGCATATGAGTAGTCTAAGGATAACGCTTCCGAGACAACATCAAAGCCGTGTGTACATACCCAAACAATTAAGTGACAGTACCCATGTGTTTATCAGAAGGGATAATGTGCAACATCCCTTACAACCGGCCTACGATGGTCCATTCAAGGTGATTAAAAGAGACGACAAAACTATTACGGTAGACAAAGCTGGAAAAACGGATGTAATTAGCATCGACCGAGTCAAACCAGCTTTCATCGAAGCCTACGATCAGCCAATGCATACAGATAATGCGAAAACCGTTGAATCATCGAAACGTCAGTTCCAATCATCAACGACATCGACAAACACAAACAAAGAGAATCCAGTAACCACACAGTCTGGTCGAAGAGTAAGATGGCCACAACATTATGTCGCTGCAATCTTCTATTAATAATTTTCTACTATTTTAAATATTAATTATAACTTCCACTACATTGTATACACATGCATTACTAATTTCATGTTATACGCTATAAAACTCTTATGTACCCCTACACTTACACGTATAATTTTTATTTAAAATGTAAAGCAATACCGCATTCCTTCTATTTATTGCTATTATTTTTTATAACTTCACGGACGGGCACAAACCAAATGTACAGCACACACTAACTTCATCTTAATTTTTGTACAAACCATTTTTTTCAAACGATTGTAACTACCCTACTCAGTTTACTATTTTTTTGTGCAAACACAGCCATTTTTCCATATATCTTTGTTTGCAGGGGGGAGCTATTATAGTGACTCACGTGCAATCGAGTTTAGTTCAGTCAAGGTCTTTTGTTGACTTATTTAATGGACAAAGTGATCCATGACATAACAACTTGTTGTACTATCATCATTATTATGCTTGTATGAAATACATATGCTTGAACATTGTTTAGCGCCTACGCATGTATTCATTCTGCTAGCTTCATTATTAACTGCTTAGTCTATTCGCTGACTCATCCATTTTCCTATACATATATATATATGTGTACATTTGCACCCATTAACTACTACAACTACTTGCTACTGCTACAATCGTAGTTCGCTTGCTCATTCATTTTGCCTCTCTGCTGTCTGGCCCGAATTATCTACTAAATAAACTGTAGTAGCAGCTTCTTTTCGCCTTCTGATTTCAAACATAGTTGAAGATTATACGATAACGGTTCGAGGGTGATTAATTATCGAAGCACAGCCACTACAATCTGTTATCTCAACTCCGATTGGTTCGTCCACAAATTATAGTCACGCCTAAATATGTAGCATTCTATCACATAAATGATGGAAATATTTTTTCCAAAAGAAAAACAAACATACAAACAGAACAAGAGAACTCACTATCAAATAATGGAGGTAGAGTATTTTCAAAAGCTTCAAAAGATATACCATCACTAATGAAATTATATTCTGGACTGGTAACGACGGACATAAATTTTGGAGTTGATGTTGTTACTGATGAAATATCTAGTTTATTTTCGGTGGATTTACTTGTTGACATTTCGGTAGATATTGTAGTTTCATTAGAGATGACTGAAATAACGAGAGAAAAAGCAGATTGGAAATAATGAACAACAAAGCTAAGAGATTCAATAACCATGTAAACAATAAACAACTCAGTTACCATGATGTGACTGGTCTTATGTTCAGCCCATATTGGTTATTCTAGTTTTTAGATAGATCAATCTATTCATTCTTCTCAAATCACATTTTGATCTTGTCATTTTTTCGCTTATGTAAGCACATCTTCTTGTCTCTTACCTTGCATCGTTCGCCTTAAGCTCTGATAATATTCAAGTCATATGGATGTTCTGATTTTTATGCATAGAATTGATGTAAAATATTCACTAGAATACATGGACATATTTCTGGACAAATATCAAGCTACCAAACTCCGGTTATGTTACATTTACTTAAGGCTATAACTATCAACTACCTGACATCGATTATATGTATTAAGAAGTAAAAAATATGGGTTTACGTTTGTCCAGAAAAAACAATCCTCTACTGGTTAGACTATTTTAATCACTGCTCTCGTTAACGAGTTATATGTTCCCACGACAGATGATATTTACGGATGTTTGAGTGTGTTGGAAAAAGGGTAGGAGCTTTCAGATAAAATCACCGCATCAGTTCCTGAAGTCACTGACATTTCTTCTATGTTATATTGGTAAATAAAGATTACCATGTTGCGGTTTATGCAATCACGGCGATTATTTGCTGGAAATTGTAGGAAATTGTTTAGGATCATTTACAAAGACAGAGATGCTCTATAAAATGCTTTATAGATGCTTTTTAAGCAAAAATGTATAGTTTCTAATAGTGGAATCCAGGACACGCGTTTCGTCTCATTTAAGACTCATCAGCTGGATGCACCTGCATCTCAAACTTAGTGTTCACTGTGAAGCTCGAACCCAGTATTATCTACCTAGCTACTAAGTCATGATAGCCACTTACTTGTGCAATGGAGTCAAGTTTTAAATTCACTTGTTATTTACTCGTATCTTCTCATCTACATTAGTTCATCAAATATAGTTTATCCTTATGACCTAATACATTAGACTAAAGTATGTTTAAGAAGATAATAATGTGAATAGAATCACTTACGATTAACTTCAATATTCAATAAATAGATATTAAAAGTCCTACTCATATTCATTCCATGATATATTAAAGCAGTAATAAATAGACTTTCATTTATATTTGTAGTATTAATAAGTAATAATTCAATATCAGCAATTCCTTGAACACCTTGAATGAGATTTGTATTATTAATTTGTCTTATTTGTAAATTATTCACATTGATTGGGATGAAGATTACATTAGAACATTTTGCATTTTTAATTATAGAAGAATAACTTTCATTTAAACTTTCAATAATCTATTTGAAGAAAATACAATAATTAGAATAAAACAATAAAATAGATGAGTTTTGTGGAGATTTTTAGAAATTTCACAAGTTGAAATCATGAGTGAATTGTAGCTAGACCACCATGGAAAACCTGGATGTCGACTCAGTGGTCTAATGGTTAAGTGCTCGCACGCGAAAACAGTAGGTCCTGGGTTCGAATCCCGTGAGGTGCGGGGTCGTGGATGCGCATTTCTGAGGAGCCCCATACCGGGACGAAACGGCCGTCCAGTGCTTTCAGGTTTTCCATGGTGGTCTAGCTTCAATTAACTCATGATTTCAACTTGTGAAATAAAATAGATATACAAAAAGAAACTTAATTTATTTGATTTTGATTAGTACAGGGGATTTGAGAAGATACTGTCTCATGATAACCAGTAACTAACAATCGATTCATATATCACATTTATTCCTTCAAGACCATAGAGTCTATGTGCGTCATTGGTTTGTAATCAGGGTTTTCCAACTCCCCTAGGTGAATCCTCTATGTCCATTGACCCGAATAAAAAGAGTGGTATATTCGCCTTTTATCTTCTCAGTTTCGTAAACAACACCGCCATCATGAGAAATAGCAATGAGCAGAACTTCCCTGACAGTGGTTGCATACGTGTGGTCATGTGAGAGTATTTGGAGGTAAGGTGACTCTCTCTACTCTCGGCCGTACTAGATCATTTGAGGGTTTGGAATAAATGTTATCAAAATACGGTAAAGTGAGACTGTAATCCTAGTATTGAAATGAATCATTTAGACTACAAAACACAATCGAAGATTTAGTGTTTATTTGATACTGATACTGATTTTCAATTACAGTTTGACATGAATATTATCTCTTTAATGTATGTTCTATCAAAGTTTATTAATCATAACCTTCCTAATAATTCTGCCTTATATATTTTAACTTCGTTATACACAAGTAGCATTTTGTGTACTGAACAACCGGAGTGCACACAAAAATATTGAAGCTATGTGGTCGAGGCTGAAAGACTTTTTGAGATATTATCATGGCTCCAAATGCCGACTATTCTGAAGCCATATGGATGATTTCCTTTATTGCATACATCACCATTTTAGGACCTCTGAACCTCTTTCTAACCTTGATAAGTTTTTGAATCACGTATGAGAAATGTATCCAGTTTATTTCTTTGGTTTTGTGTAATATATTTTTGTTCTATACTGACTGTTTGCTGATTGGTTAATATTTCTCAAGGTCACTTAAGATTCGTTCAAAGGTCGTTCATAAATTATAGTCTCGCCGTTCGTACGCTTTCCAATGATTTGTATATATTGTAGCACCCAGCTGCAACCAGTGTTACTGGTACATTTATTATCCAGTTCGCAATAACTGTCATGAATTGCCTTAGTTAGTAATTATATATAGGGTTTTCATCACGAGGTGACATCAGCTAGAATGAGCTTAATTATATTGTTATATTATAATTTATAAATATATAAGGTGATAAGATCATGATCTAATTAACAAAGAAAAAAACTTACAAAAGTACAAAGTTTCATTTTCAATGTTATATATTCTATTGTTGATGAATTTGCTAAATCTGATGACCAAAGATATAGATCTGAATTGTTACCAGTATAAAGTGTTCCTTGAACTCTAAAGATTGCTGTTATTAAAAGTAATTTCCCGAAAGATAAGAATAACAAAACATTGTTTATTATTATTATTATTATTATCATTTCAAGTAAGTAGTTTATTTAGTAATTGAATATATGGAAATAGATGGTGGATTGTTTAAGGTTAGACACTAATACTGTTGAATGCGGGCTTAATGATAGTAGTAGATGTTTAGCGTTCACACATGAGATCGAAGGTCTTGTATTTGATTTCTGCGTGAGGGTTATGGATAAGAACTGTTGAGGAGTCCCATGTTATCAAGTTTTTAATGGTGGTCTATTTTATATCAGTTTGTGATTTCAAAAGTGAAAATTCCAAGTATATTAAACTAATGTGAACATATATAATTCACCAATTTAAAAGAATGTTAACTGTTCATTAATTTTGTACTTTTTATCAGAAGGGGTTTTGTGGAGAATTTAGTAATTTTTCATAGTTGAATTCATGAGTCATTTGAAGCTAGACCACTATGGAAAATCTAGAAGCACTGGACAGCCGTTTCATCCTAGTGTGTGACTCCTCAGTAGTGCGCATCCACGATTCCGTCCCGTGAGATTTTAACCCAAAATATATCAGTCTCGCGCGTGAATCCATAACCTCTAGACAACTGAGCTGGCATTCAACAGTGTTACTATCTAACTTCAACCAATCCGAAAAATTGAGCCACCGTTCACAGGTTATTAAGTGTTGGTTAACTTTGATCTTGGACAAAACAGTTTTGTCTGAATAATGTTTGTGAATACACTTTCGAGTAATGGTCTATTCCTCTCTGCTTAAAAATAAATATATATCAATTAATTACAATGTTGAATTAATCAACACATAATGCACTTATACCTAAAGATACTGGTCAATTACAGTTCTAAACGTCAATGGGAAGATCCAGAAAACTAATATCGATGAATTAAACTTCACCTCATGGAACAGAGTATTAGTTATTTGAATTTAAGAGATAAGTAAATAACGCGAAATTGTTCGAAGTGAACGGTGCTAGGTTCAAATTCTGCAGTAAACATCAACTCTGTAGTTTTCTGAAATGTCACCTGTATATTTGTTTGTTTTTAACCTCAGTCGTGTTCCTACTCTTTTGAATGTTATGAAATTCTCATTTGTACCGTCAACGTTTTTAATACATATTTCAATTATATTATTTATCATTATTTTCTTAGAATACTTTCATCATTATTGCAAAAGATTGACATTCGTTTAAACACACACTGAATCAAGTGAACCACCACGGCAAGCGGGGAAGCATTTCGCACCAAAACATGAGTTATTAAAATTGTGCATAAACAAAACGACAGTGGAAATCGAACACACAAGTTCCACTCTTCCTCGAAATATCAAGAATTGAATGAAGTAAGTAAAAGAAAAGAAAACAATCGTTTGCCGACCCAATCGTCTAGAGGTTGTGCTCGAGTGCAAGAATGAAGTTTTTCAATTCGTCCCTTGTTAGGGATGCTATTGTTGACTCTCCAAAGGATTTTATATATTTCATAAATAACTAAATAATTAAAGAATATTTCAGAAATAATAAAAGGGGGAGAAAAACATAAAAAGAAACTGCGAATATAAAAAAGAGGGAAAATAAAAATAAATAAGAGGGAAAAACTTAGAATGATTAAAAGGCGAAAAACGGATAGCGAGGAAAGAGTAGATATAAAGCAAAGATAAAAAAGTAACTAGTAAAATACGAAAGAAAAACCAACGTTAGAAGTTACAAAACACAAAACAAACTAAATGAACAGAAAACGCTAGATATCAGTGCAAACGAATGTGTAAAAACGTCAAACGATATGAAAAGAAAAAAGAATACGTACCTGTTGGCATTAGTGTAGACTGTAGTGATGGCTGTGATGTGGACTCTGGTGTGTGTTGTGATGTTGACACTGACACTGACACTGACACAGGAGTTGAGACTGGTGTTTGCAGTGTGGTTGATTCTGTCGACTGGAATGCTGTAGTGGAGATTGTTGGCGTGGTGTCGATCAAGTGTGACGTGGATGTGGTTTGGTCAGACTGAGTTGAATGAGTGATGTCGGTGACTGGTGGAATGGATGTGGAATCGGAATGGACACCTGTTGAGAAGGAGTAGTGGGAAATGAATGTGTAGAGAGTGAGTGTGTTTTGTATGTGTGGATGATGACGACACAGAATGCATGAGATGAATTGAGAGTAGTGTGAGGAGTGAGGAGTGAGGAGTGAGGGGTGAGGAGAAGTGTGCATAATGGGGTGTGAGTATTTGTTGTTATTAGTGAATCAATGTGTGTGTGAGAGAGATAGAGATAGAGAGAGAGATGGTGGATGAGAGTTGTAGACAAGGTTTGGATTAGTGGTGTTGCGTGTGATTGACAGACTGGTTGATGGAATTATCGACTTGTTGATTGAGTGATCGACGTGTTGACTGACAGACAGTGTGTGTGTGTTTGTGTTTGTGTGACAGAGAGAGAGGAAGAGAGAGACAGAGATGTAGAGAGTGATTGATTGATTGATTGATTGATTGAATGAGTGCGAGCGTGATTGATTGTGTTGATGTTTGACGCGTGTGGATGTGAGAGGGAGATGAGTGGTGAGTGTGGTGGCAATATGAGATGGATAGTGTGTGTTGCATGTGAGAGTGTTGCGATTCGAGTGTTTTCATGTTGACAAGTCTTTTGAGTGTGTGTGAGAGAGAGAGCGAGTAGTTCGGTTGCGAAATAGTGGAGTGGTATTGGTAGTATTATGGTAATCGTTTGTGTGTGTGTGTGTGTGGATGCGTGCATCTGTGAGAGTGAGTCATTGTGTTAGTGAGTGAATGAGGTTAGTGATGTTTATGAGAATTGTGGCATAATGTGTTGTGTTGTGTGTTGGTGCAATGAAAATCGGATACGTACCTGTTTGCATTAGTGTAGACTGTGGTGATGGCTGTGAAGTGGACTCTGGTGTGTGTTGTGATGTTGACACTGACACTGACACTGACACAGGAGTTGAGACTGGTGTTTGCAGTGTGGTTGATTCTGTCGACTGGAATGCTGTAGTGGAGATTGTTGGCGTGGTGTCGATCAAGTGTGACGTGGATGTGGTTTGGTCAGACTGAGTTGAATGAGTGATGTCGGTGACTGGTGGAATGGATGTGGAATCGGAATGGACACCTGTTGAGAAGGAGTAGTGGGAAATGAATGTGTAGAGAGTGAGTGTGTTTTGTATGTGTGGATGATGACGACACAGAATGCATGAGATGAATTGAGAGTAGTGTGAGGAGTGAGGAGTGAGGAGTGAGGAGTGATGAGTGATGAGTGATGGGTGAGTGTTGAGTAGTTGTGTGCATAATGGGGTGTGTGTATTTGTTGTTATTAGTGAATCAATGTGTGTGTGTGAGAGAGAGAGGGAGAGAGATAGTGGATGAGAGTTGTAGACAAGGTTTGGATTAGTGGTGTTGCGAGTGATTGACAGACTGGTTGATGGAATTATCGACTTGTTGATTGAGTGATCGACGTGTTGACTGACAGACAGTGTGTGTGTGTTTGTGTTTGTGTGACAGAGAGAGAGGAAGAGAGAGACAGAGATGTAGAGAGTGATTGATTGATTGATTGATTGATTGAATGAGTGCGAGCGTGATTGATTGTGTTGATGTTTGACGCGTGTGGATGTGAGAGGGAGATGAGTGGTGAGTGTGGTGGCAATATGAGATGGATAGTGTGTGTTGCATGTGAGAGTGTTGCGATTCGAGTGTTTTCATGTTGACAAGTCTTTTGAGTGTGTGTGAGAGAGAGAGCGAGTAGTTCGGTTGCGAAATAGTGGAGTGGTATTGGTAGTATTATGGTAATCGTTTGTGTGTGTGTGTGTGTGGATGCGTGCATCTGTGAGAGTGAGTCATTGTGTTAGTGAGTGAATGAGGTTAGTGATGTTTATGAGAATTGTGGCATAATGTGTTGTGTTGTGTGTTGGTGCAATGAAAATCGGATACGTACCTGTTTGCATTAGTGTAGACTGTGGTGATGGCTGTGAAGTGGACTCTGGTGTGTGTTGTGATGTTGACACTGACACTGACACTGACACAGGAGTTGAGACTGGTGTTTGCAGTGTGGTTGATTCTGTCGACTGGAATGCTGTAGTGGAGATTGTTGGCGTGGTGTCGATCAAGTGTGACGTGGATGTGGTTTGGTCAGACTGAGTTGAATGAGTGATGTCGGTGACTGGTGGAATGGATGTGGAATCGGAATGGACACCTGTTGAGAAGGAGTAGTGGGAAATGAATGTGTAGAGAGTGAGTGTGTTTTGTATGTGTGGATGATGACGACACAGAATGCATGAGATGAATTGAGAGTAGTGTGAGGAGTGAGGAGTGAGGAGTGAGGGGTGAGGAGAAGTGTGCATAATGGGGTGTGAGTATTTGTTGTTATTAGTGAATCAATGTGTGTGTGTGAGAGAGAGAGATAGAGAGAGGGATGGTGGATGAGAGTTGTAGACAAGGTTTGGATTAGTGGTGTTGCGAGTGATTGACAGACTGGTTGATGGAATTATCGACTTGTTGATTGAGTGATCGACGTGTTGACTGACAGACAGTGTGTGTGTGTTTGTGTTTGTGTGACAGAGAGAGAGGAAGAGAGAGACAGAGATGTAGAGAGTGATTGATTGATTGAATGAGTGCGAGCGTGATTGATTGTGTTGATGTTTGACGCGTGTGGATGTGAGAGGGAGATGAGTGGTGAGTGTGGTGGCAATATGAGATGGATAGTGTGTGTTGCATGTGAGAGTGTTGCGATTCGAGTGTTTTCATGTTGACAAGTCTTTTGAGTGTGTGTGAGAGAGAGAGCGAGTAGTTCGGTTGCGAAATGGTGGAGTGGTATTGGTAGTATTATGGTAATCTTTTGTGTGTGTGTGTGTGTGGATGCGTGCATCTGTGAGAGTGAGTCATTGTGTTAGTGAGTGAATGAGGTTAGTGATGTTTATGAGAATTGTGGCATAATGTGTTGTGTTGTGTGTTGGTGCAATGAAAATCGGATACGT